TCTTCTTCGGGCCCTCGCTCGGTCCTGTGCGGCCTGGGAGTTGGCGCTCGACTCCAACCCACGCCCAACAGAAAGTGTTCGTTCGTCATCCCTCAGAAGGTGGACAAGCACAGTCACGAGTAACTGACGATTCCCTGGAAAGTGTGCGAAACTGTGGGAAGTGCGGGGGTGGGGGGGGAGACGAGCACCGAGAAGCCACTGGAAAAGACGGGGAATCCTGGGATCGGTGTCTCTCCATGTCTGTGTCCCGGGGTCCTTTCGTTCCTCCCTCTCCTCCACCTCCTCCCGCCCCCGGGCGCCGCTGCGGCCCTATCCCGAGCGGGCGGCCCCCCCCCCCCCCCCCCCGAAGGTGGCCCGCATGGCGCAGCTGGGCGTGGAGCCCGACGACGTCTCCTACGGCGTCACGGCGGAGGCGCGGGGGGGCGCGGGGGCGGAGGCGCGGCACGCCGCGCGGGGGGCCGTCGCCCGGCAGCGCGCCCGCTGGCACTCCCGATTTGCCGCCTGCCTGTCCTGCGGTCAGCGATCCCGAGGCTTGCCTCCTCCTGGCCTTGCCGTGAGGCCTCTCCTTCTCCCCCCCCTTTAATTTAAGCTCCGCGCGGCCCGCTCAGCTTCGACCGAAAGAGGTGCGCTCTCGACCCGCGAATCAAACAACTGTCCTGCGGTCAGCTCTAGTGGCATGCGGCCCATGCCGCCACTGCGCTCGGACTGTGGGGTGCGGGGCCTGTGGGATGTCCGTGGGGGTCTCGTGGGAGGCCTGTCGGACGCCTCTCGGAGGCAGCTTTGAACGCCCTCCTGGGGGCCTCTTTGGGGCGTCCTTTGGGCCTCTCGAGGGCCCCTCGGGGCCTCTTGGGGGCCCTTTGGGGCTTCTTGGAGTTTCCTGGGCGCCTCTTGGAGCCTCCTGGGGGCCTCTTGGGGCGGAAGGCTCGGATTTTCGGTTCGTGTGCCCGTCTTGGGACAGAAGCGGACTGCCGTCGCCGCTCAGTATCTCGTTTCGCCGCTGCCGCCGCTGCGTGCGTTTTCCAGTCTCTGTCCCTCCAGCCCGCTCGGGCCGTCCAGACTCTCGCTCTGAGGAGACTATAACGCGGCCTTCGGCCAGAGGTGCCTTCAGGGTCTGGCAGGGGGCGTCTCAGGGCCGCCCCCGCTGCCGCTGCGGCCCGCGCCCTTTGTCTCATCCGCCTGGCCCCTCTTGCCCCAGAACCAGTGGCCAGGGCGACGTCGCGAGCTGGGTGTTTTTACGACTTGATGCTTAGCATAGTCGGAGATATGGGCGTACTCGGATGTCTGCACATCTATCAGAGCATTGGCCATCCGACGCTTTTGTGCTCAAAGTTTTCCCGTTGACAACCCACGGCCTACTCTGCGCTAGTGGTATGGTGGTAGGGGGCGTCTCAGGACTGCCCCTGCTGCCGCTGTGGCCCGCGTCCGTTGTCTCATCCGCCTGGCCTTTCTTGTCTCAAAACAAGTGGCCAGGGCGACGTCGCGAACTGTATGTATGTGTGTGGTAGGTCGGTCGATAGATCGGCCGGCCGGTAGGTCGGTAGGTATGTAGGTGCGTATGTATGCATGCATGCATGCATGCGTGCATGTATGTATGTATGAATACATGTGTATGGACTTGTGGATGCATGCGTGCATATGTCTATTTATACGTGTATGCATGCGTATGTATGCGCTCATGCGTATGTATTTACTTCTGTATGTATGTGTATGTGCATGCTTATGTGTGTGTGCTTGCTTAAGAGGTTGCGTATGCGGATGCGGATGTATATGTACGTGTGCGTGTACGTGTATGTGTATGTGTATGTGTATGTGTTTGTGTATTTGCACGTGTTTGTGTATGTGTATGTGCATGTGCACGTGCATGTGCATGTGCATGTGCGTGTGCATGTGCATGTGCGTGTTCGTGTGCATGCGTACGTGTGCGTGTACGTGTGCGTGCATGTGCATGTGTATGTGTACGTGTACGTGTATGTGTATGTGTATGTGTACGTGAACGCGTACGTGCATCTGGGTATATGTGGAGGGTTACGTGTATGTGTATGTGTGCGTGTATGTGTATGTTCGTATCTATGTATATATGTGTATACATACACGTGCTTATGTGCTTGGGTGTTTTCCATGTGGAAGTTCGCCTGCGCATGTCCTGGCATAGCGCTTCGCAACGGTGCCGCCACCTTTCCGCTGGAACAAGTGTAAGTGTGTGTGTGTGTGTGTTTGTGTATGTGTGTGTGTGTGTTTGTGTGTGTGTGGATGTCTTGGCCTGGGCCGCGAGAAATCTCAGATTGGCATGGGTGGTTCCGGCCCCGCAAAATTCATTTCGATTTGGTTGATCCGATTCGATGCCGATTCTGTTCGGCCCGGTTCGATTCGATTCCGATATTCTAGCAGTCCGATGCGGCCTGGTGTTTGCACGGCGTTGCTGTGCATCTGGGCGCAGCGGATCTGATTTGATTCCGAATGCGCCGCGGTCCGGTGCACATCCCGACCCGATGCGGATTCCCGATCGGATGGTGATTGATTTTGCCCCCCATGGTCCGCGCACGTGCGTCGGGCTACGGTGCGCTGGCCGCAGACATCCTCCGACATGTCTTTCCGACGTGTGGACCCAAGCCCCAGACGTCTTCCCAGTGGTGGTTTTGCGCACCAGATCTGTGTTTGATGGCCATGTGGCCCGCGAGCGGTTCCCGGAGGCGGGAATCAAGGAAACACGTTGCGACCGGGGGGAACGTATCGACACTCCATTGCCCATTGATCGCCGATGGCTGCCCGATTCCCCCACCCCTCCCCCCTCCCGGGAACCTGCAGATTCGTTGCCGGGGGCTTATATCGCCGATCTATCGGCCATGTATCGCCGATTCCAGCTCGCCTTTGCTGGCCCCTCCAGTATCCTTCCCTATCTGGTTCATAGGTCGTCGCTCCACTGCTCTCCGAGGTGGTGCCTGGCCGAGGCCTCTCGGGTTCCCCTTTGCAGGTCCTCGGAGCTGGCCAGATGCACCCCCCTGCAGGGGAATCTTCGAGAGCTGCTGCTCGGACCGGCAAGCACGGATCAAGCGAAGCTCTGATTGTTGACAGTGCACGCTTTTTGTGATGCTCTTGTTGTGGCAGAGTGCGTCGCAGGCAGCAGATCGGAAGGGGCCATGTCTTGTCTTGTGCCCCTGGCATCTCTCTTGCCCAGTATCATTTTATCGACCCCTGCCCCCATCCCGATCCCCATACAGACCCCCCCCCATCTCAGCACCCCGGTTGGGGATGTACCCTTCGAAGCCCGAAGGAAACGGCCCACATCTCCATCTTGGGGGGTAAATCGGCCAGTGCGACCCTGGCCGCGCGTGTGGGTCGACTGCTTACCCCATTTTTTTTGCGCATCTTCGACGGAACTATAAAATTTGGTGCAGCTCAAGCCAAGAAACACTCGGCTTGCCTCCAGGGTGCCCTCCCTGGGCTTCTTGGGTTCGATGGCTTCGCTGTGGAGAGCGCGACGCTCCCACGCCAGAAACCAATGGACGTCCTGGGGTCTCAGGGGTTGGGTTTCCTGTGGCAAGGTTCTTGCGGTCGAGCCCCTGCTGCAATCAAGTACCAGCCTGGAACATATCCCTATCCCTATGCTGGGCACCTCATCACGATGCCAATCTCAGGGATCCCCTTTTTTAATCGCTTCGCTCATTCCGCCGGCCCATAATGTCGCACCGTGGTCGCCTGTCCGAGTGGTCGTTTGCAGTGTGGAGCTGCGGCGTCGGGAGCTGTGTAGTGTTGGGGGCGTTCTTGGGGCCCTCTTGGGCCGTCCTGGAGGCCTCTGGGGCCGTCTTGGAGCCGTCTTGGGCCGTCTTGGGGCCCTCTTGGGGGCCTCTTGGGCCCTCTTGGGGCGATCTTGGAGGCCTCTTGAGCCGTTTAGGGGCGTCGGGGAACCGAAAAGGTTAAAACGCCCAAATCTGTCCAACACCAAAGGGAAAGCACAGGTTTTTGCCTCTTGGGGCCCTCTTGGGAGTTCTCTTGGAGGCCTCTTGGGGCATCTTGGAGGCTTCTTGGGCCATCTTGGAGACGTCTTGGGCCGTCCGGAGGCCATCTTGGGCGTCGTGGAGCGATCTTCGGGCGTCTCGGACCTCTCTTGGACCGTGTTGGGGGCGTTCTTGGGGCCCTCTTGGGCCGTCTTGGAGGCCTCTGGGGCCGTCTTGGAGCCGTCTTGGGCCGTCTTGGGGCCCTTTTGAGGGCCTCTTGGGCCCTCTTGGGGCGATCTTGGAGGCCTCTTGAGCCGTTTAGGGGCGTCGGGGAACCGAAAAGGTTGAAACGCCCAAATCTGTCCAAAACCTGGGAAAAAAAATGATTTTTGCCTCTTGGGGCCCTCTTGGGAGTGCTCCTGGAGGTCTCTTGGGGCATCTTGGAGGCTTGTTGGGTCATCTTGGAGACGTCTTGGGCCGTCTGGAGGCCATCTTGGGCGCCGTGGAGCGATCTTCGAGCGTCTCGGACCTCTCTTGGATTGTGTTGGGGGCCTCTTGGGGCCCTCTTGGGGCGATCCTGGAGGATCTGGGGGAGTGTCCCGGGCTCCGCCCGGGGTACTTTTGATCCAGCGACCCCCAGGGGCCGCCCCGCGCGCGCGAACTAGAAATACTGTTTACCAGTTACCGGAGATCTTAGCACGCCTCTGGCCCGTTGGGCCGGCGAATTTTTTGAGGGCGAATCCCTAAGATTGTCATCGCCTTTTGGCGTGTCAATCTTAGGGATAGGGATACGTTCGAGGCTGGTAATCTACTGCGATCGAATTTCGGGGCAACTCAATTCTGTAGTCGATCCCCTCATCGACTCTTGCGGCGCACCCTGCGCGTGCCGCCCGGCCTCCGGTCCGGCCCCCGGCGGCTGCCCCTTGGGAGGGGGGGGGCAGGCCTGGCGACGCGCGGGGCACCCCGCGCGCGCGGAGCTGTGGCTGAAGGAGATCCCTCTCGGGTGGGTTCCTCGATCCTCCGCCTCCTCGATCCTCCTCCTCCTCCTCCTCCTCCTCCTCCTCCTCCTCCTCCTCCTCCTCCTCTTCCTCTTCCTCCTCCCCCTCCTCCTCCTCCTCCTCCGCCTCCTCCTCCGGCTCCTCCTCCTCATCCTCCTCGATCCACCGCCTCCTCCTCTTCCTGGATCCTCCTCCTCCTCCTCCTCCGCCCTCCTCCGCCCTCCTCCCCCTCCTCCTCCTCCTCCTCCTCCTCCTCCTCCTCCTCCTCCTCCTCCTCCTCTTCCTCCTCCTCCTCCTCCTCCTCCTCCTCCTCCTCCTCCTCCTCATCCGCCTCCTCATCCTGGATCCTCCTCCGTAGCCATTTTGGCTGATGCCTGCACTGTGCGCCAGGCGGGCTGGGTGCTGCTGTTCTCTCTCCTGCTGCTGCTGCTGCTGCTGCTGCTGCTGCTGCACTCGAGAGCGGCTCTTTCCCAGTCCCCTTTCGCGGCCCCCGCTATGTCGGTGGTCGGCCTTGAGGAGAAGGTGCATGTGGCTGCGGGGGGCTGGCTCAGGTGGGGCGGCCCAGGAGCCCTCAGGGTTTTGGAGACCGCCACGCTGGGCGCCTCGGCAGCCCGCCGAGCCGCGCGCAAGCGGCGGCTGGCGGCGGCGGAGGCCGCGGTGCCAGGGCGAGGCGGCCCCAGTTCTTGGCAGGACCGCGAGGCGGCTGCGAGGCCGGCGCTGGTGCTCGCGGCCAGCGGGCGCCGGGTCCCGGGGGCGAGACGCCCGCGCCGTCAGGCCGCGCTCCACGCGGCGCGCATCCCGGCGCTGGGGTTCGCCGCCGCCTCGGCGGCCGACCTGGGGTGGGCCGCTGCTGGACCTCGTTTCGGGTAAGGGCACGCCCGAGTGGTCCACGTGGCAGATTTTGAGGCTCAGCTGCTCATCGCGGCTGGGTTGGACGCGGAGGCGCTGGCAGAGCCGCCTCCCCGCGCCCTCCTTTCGGCGCTGGTGCTCGCGGCCAGCGGGCGCCGGGTCCCGGGGGCGAGACGCCCGCGCCGTCAGGCCGCGCTCCACGCGGCGCGCATCCCGCCGCTGGGGTTCGCCGCCGCCTCGGCGGCCGACCTGGGGTGGGCCGCTGCTGGACCTCGTTTCGGGTAAGGGCACGCCCAAGTGGTCCACGTGGCGGATTTTGAGGCTCAGCTGCTCATCGCGGCTGGGTTGGACGCGGAGGCGCTGGCAGAGCCGCCTCCCCGCGCCCTCCTTTCGGCGCTGGAGGAGGAGGTGGAGGCGCACTTCGGCGACGACGAGGATTCTTCCTCGACCTGGCTTGCTCCAGGCGACTGGCGGGCGTGCGGCCCAGAGGCGGAGGCGAAGCTCTTCGTATGCGGGCTGGAGGCGGGCTGGCGACTGGCGCAGGTCGAGGAGCTGAGGAAGTACGGCGCCAAGGACACTTGAGGACAAGAGCGACCAGGAGTTCCTCGGCAAGGACCAGGTGGTCGCGCAGTTCAGGGAGCCCGTCGGCCTCTTGGTGGACGACAGGGTCAAGCAGAGCGTATGGTGGGCTGCGCAGGCCCGCATCTCTCGGGTATGGCTCGAGAAGGTGAGCGAGGCGGGCGTGTGCGACGGCGTCTCGGAGGCTACGGTGGCCGCTGTTCGCGCCCCTGGCGGTGGGATGGAGGACTGCACGCCCGACGTGTTCCTCTACCGCTGCCCGGCTCGGCACGAACTCGTTCTCCGCCGCCGCCCGCCCTTCGCCAGCGTCTGCGAGTGGTGCTCGAGGACATTGCCCAAGCGGGCGGCCACGCGGTGGTGCGAGCGGTGCCGCTACACCGTGTTCCTCGACTGCATCCGATGGGCTGGGCGCGGGCACTCGCTCTCTCCTGCTGGGTCCGCCTCGTGATCCTGGCGCGGCGCCCCTCGGCGCGGCTTGGGGGGCCGCCGCGTTTTCACCGTCGGGGTGGGTGTGTGGCCGCGGGCGGCTGCTGGGGGTGCCCGTTGTGTCCCCGCGGGGCTGGCTTCCATCCCCCTGGCTTGCCCTCGGGGCAGGCCAGGGTCGGTCGGATGCCTGTCTGGGCTTCTTCGGGGTCCTTCCCTCGTCGCCACGGCTGCTGCGCGGCGCGCCCGCGGCGGCGCGGGACCCAGTCCGCGGGTAGCGAACTCTTTGAAGTCTGGGGCCCTGGCGGTCGTCAGCGTGCTGACGGCCGCCCGGGCCTCTTTGATAACGTTCCATCCATCCATCCGTCCATCCATCCATCCATCCATCCTCCTGGATCATCCTCCATCCTCCTCCTCCTCCTCGTCCTCCGCCGGGTCCCTCGTCGGCTGGTTCTGTTCGGTCCTCGTATGGCCGCCCCAGTGCGGTGCTCCGCTCGGTCCCCGTCGTCTCTCTGTGCGCTGTGGCACGCTTTCACGAGTATATACACGCTCGCGTAATCCATGAGAGGGTGAGTTTGCGTTCGCGTTCATGTCCAACAACCGTGTGCAGCAGCAGCGGCAGCAGCAACAGCAGTAGTTCCTCCGCCGCCTTCTCCTCTTCCTCCTCCTTCTTTTCGTCATCCGCTGCCATCTTGGCTCACGTCCTTAGCGATTGGCCCAGGGCTTGGGTTGGCAAGGGATAGGCGGCCCCACCGGCGATCAGCCACTGCTGCCGACTGGCGCTCTTTCCGTGTGCTGAAGTGGGGTATAATTTTTGTTATGTGGAGCGGATGGGCAAAAGGAGGTGCCAAGGGTTTTCTCTTTGCAAGTCGTATGCAGGCCATTATCGCTGGAATTTCAAACTGAGGACGTTCTGCTTCAGTTGAAATGCGACGCTCATGCCTCAAGAGATGCCGCGGCGCGGTGCCGCAGGGGTCCGCCGGGCTCCAGGCGGTCCGCCTCAGGCCCGGGCCCAAGGAGGTGGTCAGCTGCGGTTGCAAGGAACGCCTCCGCCATCAGCCCATCCGGGCACCTGGCAGTGCACGACGGCCCCTCACGCGGCCCACCCCTCCGGGGTCTCCGACGCCGCCGCGACGCGCGGAACGGGGGCAGAACGGAACTGTCTAAATGGTGAATCTCTTCGAGCAGTTTCTCGAGATGGGCGTGGCCCAGGCGGCGCGGGCACGGAGGACCTCCAGGCGTTGGGAGGGTGCCTTGCGCCCGCAGCCAGCAGCCAGAGCGGCGCCTCGCCCCAGCAGCCGCTCGAGGCCACCATTTCGGCCAGGGGGGTGGCCCGCAGCCGTGCCCAGGCCCGCCTCGCAACCCGCGGTGGCGCGGTGGAAGGACTGCAAGGAGGCCACGGCGGCTTCCCTGCACCTATTTAAATCCCTCCTCGAAATCCAACGCGGGTTTTTCCCGCCAAGTGGCGACGCCCCTTGGCCCCCAAATTTCAAAGTTCGCGGCGAAATGGGCCATTGCGAGCACACAAATCTGACGCCGCGGGCCGCGCTTCGCGCGTCGATCAGCATTCAAAACTGGCGTTAGATTTCGAGGAGTGTTGTACGACGCGAAGGTGGAGTAGCAGCAGGAGCTCTCTCTCTTTTTTTTTTTTTTTTCTCTCTCTCTCTCTCTCTCTCTCTCTCGAGAGAGAGAGAGAGAGAGAGCTCGAGAGGGCTCGTGGCGCGGGCGCAGGCAGCACAGCCCCCTTCGGCGGCGGGCTCCCGAGGCCGGCTCGCACCTATCGACCTTTCGAAGCTGCTTGACGGCGAGGGTGCCCATGCGGTGGACATCATCGACGGCGATGGGCTCGACATTGAGGGCCCCGGGGTCGAGGACGCTCGGGCGGGTGGTAATGTGGGGTGGGGGGTGAAGGGCCCTTTTCTCCACCCCAAATCTAGGTCACCCCCCCTTACCACCCGCCCGAGAGGCCGATGAGAAGGGGTGGATTGAGCTCAGGGCGAGCATGGCCAGGGAGGCCCCTCGGGCGGTGCTCCGTCGGCGACCCAGCCCCAGCGCAGAGAGAGCACGCAGAAGCTGCGCGTGGAAAACACAGGCGAAGGGCGGCGACGCGCCGTCGCCAAGACGCGCTTCGGGAGGCAGCCTGCGGCTCTCCCTCCACGGCGCGCACCGAACTCCGTTCATCGTCCTCCCCCTCCTCCTCTCCTCTTCCTCCTCCTCCTCATCCTCCTCCTCCTCCTCCTCCTCCTTCTCCTTCTCATTCTCATTATCCTCCTCCTCCTCCTTTTCCTCCTCTTCCTCCTCCTCCTCCTCCTCCTGTCTCTCTCTCTCTCTCTCTCTCTATCGCAGCGCCGGCTGCTCAGGCGGCGGCGTCGGTCAGCAGCAGGCGCAGCCCCGGCCCTGGCAATCTCCGGCCCTTGCTGCCGCCGGCGGCGGCATCGAGCAGTCTGCTCCCGAGTCTGTGCCGAGGCCATGAGACCAGAGGGCCACGTATGCGGCCCTCGTGGCTGCCATGGGAGCGGTCGCCACTGAGCGAGGGCGCCTGGCCGGCAGCGCTGCGTAGAACGTTGGCGACTTCTCTGACGAAGCGGCTGTGCTCCGCGATGCGATAGGCTGGAGTTCTTATTTCGGTAGCAAATCGGCTGGAGCCTGGTGTACCCTTTTAATTCCGTCTTCAGCGTCGATTAGCGTCGATCAGCGTCTGGGAGTCGATGAGATAGCGCCGATTTGGCGTCGGTCAGCGTCCATTCAGCGCTGATTGGCGTCGGCTAACGTCGATTAGCGTCGATTCGCAAGTGCCGACAAGATGGTGTGGGAGGCTCCCAGGAGTTGCCACCTTAAACCTCTCCTCGCGTGCAAGGTGCTCCGACTCCTGCGGCGGCGGCGGCGGCGCCTCTGCTGCGCTCGAGCCCTCGGCCGCCTGGGGCCTCCGCCCCAGCGGGCGAACCAGCCCCGAGAATGCCAGGCCCTCTCTTCCTCCTCCTCCTCCTCCTCCTCCTCCTCCTCCTCCTCCTCCACCTTCTCCTCCTCCTCCTCCTCCTCCTCCTCCTCCTCCTCCTCATCCCCCTTCTCTTTCTCCTCCTCCTCCTCCTCTCTCCTCCTCCCTCTTCCCTCCTCCTCCTCCTCCTCATCCCCCCCCCTCCTCTCCTCCTCCTCCTCCCCTCCTCCTCCTCCTCCTCCTCCTCCTCCTCCTCCTCCCGCGGCGTCGCCTCCCCACTAGACAGGGAGGCGTGCCCAGGGCCCGCTGCCCCGGGGATGGCGGGGGGGGGGGGGCGGCCAGCAGCGCGGGGGCCCTGGGGAGGCGGAGCACGGCGCCAGCAGCGGGGGGAGCGGCTTCCACGGCAGCCCCCTCGGGCAGCAAGTCTCCCGTGGCGGATCGAGACCGTTTGCGGGCAATTGCTCTGCGAGTCAGTGGGGTGCGCTTGTTTGCTCTCGCTTTCGGCCTTGCGGCGCCTCTGCGGCGACGAGTGGTGTTGCCCTGTGTGCACTCAGCGCAGGCCTGACGAAAGCTTGAGAGGTCCCTTCCGTTGTTAGGGGAACGAAGCATTTCATGAACATAAGAACTCGGAGGTCCGCGCGCCAGGGAGGGGGGTCCAGCGCGGATCCGAGAAGTCCGCGCGGACCTCCGAGTTGTTATGTTGATGCTATTCTTCGAGCGGGGCGAATGAGTGGGGCCCGCTCGTGTAGCTGCTCTGCGAGTCAGCGGGGGCGCGCTCGTGTGCTCGCGATGTCGCCCCCCCTGGATGAAAAGGGGAGGAGGCGTGCCCTGGGCCTGCTGCCCCGAGGACGGCGTGCTCCTCCTCCTCCTCCTCCTCCTCCTCCTCCTCCTCCTCCTCCTCCTCCTCCTCCTCTTCCTCTTCCTCTTCCTCCTCCTCCTCCTCCTCCTCCTCCTCCTCCTCCTCCTCCTCCTCCTCTCGCGACGTCGCCTCCCCACTACAAAGGGAGGCGGCCACATTTCGACGGCGGGCGAGGGCGGGAAGTGGGAAGTGGGAGAAGAAACTTTTGGCGCTCCGCGCGGATTTCTTGGTACTGCGCCGGGCCCCCCCGCTCCGCGCGCCAGGGAGGATGGTCCAGCTCAGATCCCAGAAATCCGCGCGGAGCGCCAACAGTTTATGTTTATGCCGTTTTTGTTCTTCTAGAGCGAGGGGGGGGAGTGAGAAGGAGAAGGCCTTCTCAGAAGGCCCGGAAGTCCCTCGGCCTTTGAGGAGTTGTCCGAGCGTTCCCCGAAGACGCAGAAAACTCTGTCAGAAAGATGGAAGGCTTTGAGAAGTCCCGCCGCCTTCCGAGAAGGCCGTCTCCTTCTCACTTCCACCCCGCGCTCGCCGCCGACAAAACATCAACGGTTGGTGAAGCTTCGCTTTTCGGAAAAGATTCAGTGTTCTCTCGCGTCGTCCACGTCCTGCCTCGAGTCGTTCGAGCGAGGCCAGAGGTATCATCGCGCCCAAAGCGTGCCAGGTCATCAGTTTCTTCCTTCGTCACGTGCAACTCTAATTCCTGGCTTACAGCCGTCAAGTCGTGGGAGTGGGCTAAACAACACCGAGGCACGGAGTTCGTAGGCTGCATTTTTCGGGAACATCGTCAGAGCAGTTCAGCTCTGAGCGGGCCACGGATGTTTGCGCGCCGAGCGGGCTGCCACATGCCCATCAGCGCTCGGCCGCCATCGCAGGAGAGGCGGTCAATGCGGCCTCAGGCGGGGCGGCCGGCGTGACCGAGCGCTCGTGGGCGACGGCAGACTACGAACACCCATTGACCTTTGATGAGCCGTTTGATGGTCGCGCAGCGGGTCCAGCTGGCAGGCGCCATGCATGTTGTTTTTGCGTCGGTCTACGGCCGCGCCCGGATCGGGCCTGCAGGGGCGGCGTTGCAATCCTGCAGCATGCCGGCGAGATGGCCACCAGTGCCGTCGTTCCGTTCACCGTCGGCTGCGGCGGAAGCAGCGAGGCGTCTCCACTGCGAGACTCGGGATGAGTTGGCCACGTCGGTGGCCCGACCACCCGCCCTCCGCACGCCGCGTGCAACTGCCACGATGTCTCACGTGGCCAGCAGCCGCGTCGTTTTGCATGTCAGCCGGGCCCCACTCGGCCACGGCCACGTTGATGAAAGGCATGGCAGCACAGGCCAGGGCGTGGAACTTGGCCGCTGCTCGCTCCTCAGCGAAGAGGTGCCGCCGCTGGAAGGCGATCGGCACTGCCCGCCTTTGTCTTGGCCACGTTTTGCCTTCGACTGGACCCTGACCGTCGCGTTCGGCGACCGGGTCGGCTGTTCAAGCGCCGGTTGGAGAGGACCGAGAAATTGCAGATCTTCAAGACCTGAAGGCGCCGAGGCGCCCCCGCGCCGCCCGTCTCTGGACGGCTTCCGGGCCGATGGTGCGCGTCTTGTCTTGTCTTGTCTTGTCTTGTCTTGTCTTGTCTTGTCTTGTCTTGTCTTGTCTTTTCTTGTCTTGACTCTCCAGAGGCGGCGGCAGCGCCGTTCGACGCTGCGGGAGAGGTCTTGTGTCTGCGGGGCGGGTTTCCCCAGGGAAGGAAAATCCACCCAGACCCGAGAATTGGCGTTTGCTAGCCAGCATTGTGCGTTTCCTAAGCAGCCCTGCCCTGTTCGATTGCTTCTCTGGGTGCGTTTACTTAGCGGCTTCGCGTGTCGGGGTGATTGCTATGAGGGTGGATTATCTGCTCTCTGTTGCGACGGCCCTACGGCTAGTGCCGCCTAGTGCCGCCGACCCTGGATGCCGACGACGACGACGACGACGACGACGACGACGACGACGACGACGACGACGACGACGACGACGACGACGACGACGACGACGACGACGACGACTTTCCCTCGGGCGGTTGCCGCGAACGGCGCGGGCGTTTTCTGAAGGTCGTCGGCCTGGCGTGGTCCCCGTCGGGCTTTTTGGGGGCCAGGGCCTCCGCGGGCTTGCGGGTGCCGCCGCGCAGGGCTGGCTTTCGGTCTCGGCGCCCCGCGACTCCCTGCATGACGGAGGCCACGCCGTAGCGGGCCCCGGAAGCGGCAGGGCGGTCTTTTCATGGTTTCCGAAAGCGTGGTTCTTGCACATGGAAGCGGCACAACAACGGCAACCGGGCACGGAATAAAGCCGCTCCAGGATCGGAGCCGGAGCCGGAACCGGAAACGGAAAAAAACGGCAACCGGAAACGGAGCCGGAACTGGAACCGGTGGAAAAACGGCGACGGAACCATTAAAAAAAACGGCATCGGAACCGGCAGAAAAACGGCAGCACGGACCTTCCGGTAGAAAACGGCCCTGTCGCTTCCAGGGCCCAGCACGCCCACGTGATGAGCACGTGTGCTCGAAATCCTCGACGTGGAGCGTCGGGGCACGCACGGAAACCGGTAAGAAACGGCCCTGTCGTTTCCAGGCCCCAGCGCGCCCACGTGATGAGCACGTTTGCTCGAAATCCTCGACGTGGAGCGTCGGGGCACGAAGGCTGGCGATCTTGCAGCTGGATCCGGTGGCCCTTCGGCCTGGGGCGAAGGCGTCTGGCGCTCGGCTGCCGACGGAGATTTCGGGAGGGTCGAGGAGGATGGAGGCCCCGGGCCCAGGGGGTTCGGGAGGGTCGAGGAGGATTTCGGGAGGGTCGGGGAGGAATTCGGGAGGGTCGAGGATTTCGGGAGGGTCGAGGAGGATGGAGATTCCGGGAGGGTCGAGGAGGATTTCGGGAGGGTCGAGGAGGATGGAGCGTTCGGTCGACGACGGTCGATTCGGGGGGACGAACCGCGCATCGGTTTTCGAAAGGGCCCAGCGAACTACCCAAGGCCTGTTGAGCGACCCCTGAGCGCTCGTTGGGCATGGCGCGCAAGACCAGCTGCAGTTTCCTCTTGGCCTCGCCGAGGCCTTCGCCGACATGTTTTGTATTTGTGAGAAAGCCCTCCTCGCGCGGATCAGATGGGGCGGGTCCTGGTCGTTTCGTCGAGTTGTGGCCCGAAAGTCAGACGACTAGGCTCGTTCGGGGGAAGGCGCAGCCTCACCTTGCTCCTGCTTCTCATCCTCCTGCTTCTCCTCCGTCTCCACTTCCCCCTCGTCGTCGTCGTCGTCGTCGTCGTCGTCGTTGTCGTCGCCTTCTTCTTCTTCTTCTTCTTCTTCTTCTTCTTCTTCTTCTTCGTCGTCGTCGTCGTCGTCGTCGTCGCCGCCGTCGTCGTTACCGCCGCCGTCGTCGTCGTCGTCGTCGTCGTCGTCGTCGTCGTCGTCGTCGTCGTCGCCCTCCTCCTGTTCCTCCTCCCTTTCCTCCTCTTCCTTCCCCTTGTCGTTGGGGGGGACCGAGGGCGGCGGGAGAGCGGGGAGCTCCGTCCCCGGACGCCCCCCGCGCCCCGCCCGCCCTGCCCAGGACATGCTCCTGGCCGGCAGGGTGCCGTCGAGCCCCTACGCGGAGCTGGTGGGCGGCGCGGAGAGGCGGGGGGCGGCCCTGCGCTCCCCCCCCCCCCTTCTTGGCAGTTCTCCCTCCTCCCCCCCTTCTTGGCAGTTCTCCCTCCTCCCCCCCCCTCCGCATTATGGCTCGCCTCCCCAGCTTTCCCCTTCTCTAATCTGGGCCCCTGAGAGACTCCAGCAGGAGTGAGGACTGAGGCTCAGGGGATTGGGCAGAGGACCTGAGGACACGCCCACTCCGTGTCCAGAGGCACGGTGGGCGGACTGAGTGTGTGTATCTCGACACCCCTGGCGCATGGGGGCCGTGTGGCAAAACATCTCAGGCCTTTCCCTTTCCTCGCCTTCTCGACCCTATTCCTAATCAGAGGTGGCGCTCAAAACCACCGACTGCGCCTCTGTTTGTTCCGAACGAATGTTCTTTTGTCAGCTGCCATTGGAAGTGTGTTAGAACGTTTTCTGGTGGTTCGTCATCGGCGGCGCCTCGATGAGAGATTTTCTGGACGACAGTGTCGTTCCAAACTGCCTACGGAGAACCAGCAGCGGCAGAAGCGCAACTCTGGCTATCTGCGTGGCTTGGGCTGGTGTTTCGCAAGGTTTCACCGCCCGCGCAGAACAGGCAAAAGGTGGCGAGTGGCTTCTCCCTGGAGCCCACAAAGAGAAGCTTAACAGCGGTCCGACGGGTACGTGCGCTGCCGCCCGAATCTTATGCACTCTGCGGCGTACTTCGCTGCGCGCGCTGGTGGGCCCTGTCTCGAAGCCCTCCGTCTCGAAGGGCTCGCCTTCGCCTCGATCCTTCTCCTCCTCCTCCTCCTCCTCCTCCTCCTCCTCCTCCTCCTCCTCCTCCTCCCTCCTCCTCCTCCTCCCCCTCCTCCCCCCTCCTCCTCCTCCTCCTCCCCCTCCTCCTCCTCCTCCTCCTCCTCCTCCTCCTCCTCGTCCTCGTCCTCCTCCTCCTCCTCCTCCTCCTCCTCCTCCTCCTCCTCCTCTGCGCTCCTGATGGCAGCACGAGGGCTGTGAGCAGTGCCTGCCCGAGGCTTCTGCGGCGTACCTCGCGCTGGATGCCGCGTGCGGCACGCTCTCGGGAGGTCGCTGCCTTGCCCGTGGCCGCGCCGCGCGCCGGATCCGCGTCGTGACGCGCGTCCCGCGCCGCGCCGCGCCGCGCGCAGTGCTCTGCCTGCGAGCGAACGAAGCATGCACCGACACACGCAAACTGACGGGCACGACGCACCACCGAAGCCAGGCGGGAAAAGACACAGAAGGGGGGAAGAACAGAACCCAGAAAATATGGACAATGTGGGAAGTCCTGGGACTTGTGTCTATTGTATTTGTGTGTTCCTGGGCCCCTTCAAACATGTGTCAATGCAACAGCACATACGGGCAGGAGACTTGGCTTCGCGCGTCGCGCCGCTGGTTATGGCCTACCGCGCTGCGGCGCAACACGCTGTCCGCATCCCGGTCCCCGGGCGTCCCAAGTCCTGAGTTCCTCAAGGCCTCGCGCCCCGCGGAGTGGAGCAACACGCTACAGTGGGGACGCGCACCAAGAAACCGTATTGTTTTCGTCAGTGTGCCTTGGGTTTCTTCGCTCCCAGCGATGCCCGGTGACTTCCCCCGGTCGTTAAGTATTGCCCCCAGGGTACCCTGGGTTTCTCCCCCAATCACAGCTCGCGCCTTTCCGTATCACGCCCCAGGAAGAAACTTCTCGGGCTTGGATGCCCTGGGTTTCTCCGATTGGAACCCTTGGCTAAGAAACCTAGACTCTGGGCAAGACACTTGTTAGATTTTCAGGGCTGGGTTTCTTGCGGGGGGTTCTTGCGTCTGCGTCCCCGCTGTATCCGCTCGCAGGGCATAGCGTGTCGCGGAGGCTTCAGAATTCCGCGCAGGCGGTTAATCAAAAGAAACTCCCCCGCGAGGGTGGGCTTGTTCTTGCGAGCTCGTCTTAGGACTTGAGGTCTGCCTCGCCAGATCACCGCTGGCCGCCTAGTGCGGTCTCTACAGGCGCTGGCCCAAGAAGCCCGCGTGAGCCCTGGGAAGTTTATACCAGTGCAGTGGGTTGGCTTTCGCTTCGGAGGGCCACGAGCTGACGCACCCCAGAGGGAGGGGGAAAATGGGACTGCGTCACTCCGTTGCCCAGAGTCTGTTTGCTTATTGCTGTCTGTTGTCGTCGACCCCACCGCGAACCCCCCCGACCCGCCCCGCGGCCCTCCCCGCGCCCCCCCCCCCCCGCGACCCTCCCGCGACCCACCCCGCGACCCACAAACGACCCACTCGTGACCCACCCCGCGACACATCCCGCGATCTACCCCGCGACCCACCCCGCGCCCGCCCCCTTCACTGTTATCCGCATTTGCGGGGTGCTGCGTATGCGTCCTCGCGCTGCCTGTTCGGCACCCGGGACCCCGCGCGACGCGGCGCCTTCGCCCCTAGTGCGTGAGGAGGGGGGGCTCGGGGGCGGCCTGGGGATCCCCGCTGGCTTCCCAGGGCCCTCCAGGTCGAGCCGATGCCTCCCCAGTGCAGGCCGATCTGGCTCGACTTCGATTCCGGCCGGCGCGGTCCGATTCGATTCCGATATCCCGACGATTTGGTGCGGCCCGATGCCTGTGTGCCGCTGTTGTGCATCCTGGCGCGGCCGATCCGATTCGATTTCGATCCCGTGCCGATGAAGTCCGAACCGATGCATATGTCGGTTCGATCCGACTTCCCGGTCCAATGCAGTCCGATCCTGCCAGTGTCTCGGGGTCTCCCCAGCCCGAGGCGGGGGAGGAGGACGAGGGCGCGGAGGATTAGCAGGGCGAGGGATGCGCCGCCCTCCGCCGCTGCCGCTGCCCCGTCCCTCCCGCACTCATTTCCCCCGCCCCCTTCTCCCTCAAGTCCTTGGCTGGTCCCGCGGACTCCCGCCGATTCCCTGGCTGAGGGGCAACGATAGGGGGGGATGGGCATAGGGGGGGATGCATCGACCCCCTATCGCCTATTGATCGCCGATAGGGGCCCGATAGCCCCAACCTGCCCAGGAAGATGCGGATCCACTATCGGGGGCCTATCGCCGATCTATCGGCGACGTACCGCCAATTTCATGTCGATGCATCCCCCCTATGCCAGTCCCCCCTATCGTTGCCCCCCCCACTGGCCAAAGTCCCAGATGCCCAGCAGATGTCCCGCGGCGTCCGCGCGAACTCCCTGGGCGCCGTGTTTTGCCCCTGCGGGGCGGGCGGGGAAGGGCAGACACGGGGCGGGGTCTGGGGAGGGCAGGCCAGGGGAAGGAGGATCTCAGTCTGAGCAGACCAGGAGGAGGAAGAGGAGGAGGAGGAGGAGGAGGAGGAGGAGGAGGAGGAGGAGGAGCACTTAGCACGGGAGGCTTCCAAGGCAAGCTCCATCTACTCGCTCGCTGTCCACCCTTCCGTCCCAGGACGTAGGGGAGGATGACGGATGACGAGGAGGGATCTGACAGGGCTAGGTTTTCGTCCTGCGTCGTTTCTGGAGATCCCCGGCCCGAAACGGCCACCGCAGAGCGGACCGCCGAAAGTCTCGGACTTGGCACCTTCGAGCCCTTGGAGGTTTGGGACTGCTCCTGGTACGTCGAAGATGTTTCACCTCCAAGGTCTGGAGGGGCTTTGCCCAGTGGTTTTCGGGTCTTGAATCTTGTCTCTGCTCCTTGGCGGCCTTTCGGGACGATACGGGCACCCCAGGAACGCTCACGGCGAGACGCAGCTGATGGAACGGAAGGAGGAGGAAGAAGAGGAGAAGAAGGAGACGAGGAGGAGGAGGAGGCGGAGGAGGAGGAGGAGGAGGAGGAGGAGGAGGAGGAGGAGGAGGAGGGGTAGGACGAGGAGGAGGACGAGGACGAGGACCAGTGTAACCCAAGATTCACGAACGATGTTGGAAGAACCCCCCCTCTCGAAGCGCTTATTCTCACAGGGAAGTGCCCTGGTGGGAGACAATCGTTTAAAGATCCTCAAGCGTGCCAGAACACCATTCTCGGCACGCCAGCGCCCAGCACCACGCATCAATTTGATTGTTGTGTGCCGACGATCCTGAATCGTGCCAGAACGTCACTCCTGGGACTTCAACACCGCGAATCAATGTAACTGCTGCGCCCTGGCAATCCCGAATCGTTCCAAACACAATCTCTGGTAGGTTGACCTTGGGAGCTCGGACAATCTTTCAAATCTGTGAGATGAATGTGCGCGGCGCTACGGCGAGAGCCACAATTTGAAACGAAACCGCCCTCAATACGTGAAGTTATTTCAAATGTTTTAAATAAACGAATGTGCGCAGCGCTAAGTCGAGAGCCATATTTTGATATCGGCCTGCCCTCCATCCGTGAAGCTCTCTGCAATTGTTTAAGACGAAAAAGTGCGGCGCTAAGGCGAGAGCCTCATTTTGAAATCCACCCGCCCTCCATCTGTGAAGCTGTTGCCAATTTTGTAAGCCTCAGGACCATACATGGTGAGGAAGTCTCAGACGAAACGCCCGGCCCGCCCTTCCGACGGGCCTTGGTGTGCGACAGGGAGGAGTCCCGAAAAAGGCATGGAGGACAAGGAGGACAAGGTCGATGACGATGACGAGGACGTTGACGAGGACGCCGACGAGGACAAGGAGGACGAGGTCGAGGTCGAGGAGGACGACAGTAGGGAGCGACACCCTTGGCGCGGGCTGGGGCGTCGGGCTGCCCCCCCCCCTCCGCCGAGCAGGGCCTCGTCGAGCGGAACGCCCGCAGAGCCGGTCCTGGCCGCAAGCCAGGATCGCCAGGGCGGGCTCGAAGATCTCTCCTCCTCGCTCCCTGAAGGCTTATTGCGTACTTGGCAGTTCTCCTCCTCCTCCTCTTCCTGATTTCATCCTCCTTCTCCTCCTCCTCCTCCTCCTCCTCCTCCTCCTCCTCCTCCTCCTCATTTCTTCAATTTCTTCATTTCCTCCTCTCCTCCTCCTCCTCCTCCTCCTCCTCTCTCCTCCTCCTCTCCTCCTCCTCCTCCTCCTCTCGTCCTCCTCCGCCTCCTCCTCCTCCGCCTCCTCCTTCCCTCCTTCTCATTCCCTCATTTCCTCCTCCTCCTCCTACACACCTCCTCATCTTCCTCATTTCTTTATCCTCCTCCTTCTCCTCCTGCTCCTGCTCCTCCTCCTCCTCCCCCCTCCTCCTTCTCCTCCTTCTCCTCCTCCTCCTCCTCCTCATCATCATCATCGTTATCATCATGATTTCCTCCTCGTCCTACTCCTCCTCCTCCTCCACCTCCCCCCTTCCTCATTTCCTCCTCCTCCTTCCTTTCAAAACGGGGTTCCCGCTGCAGCTTGGCCTCATTCATTTTAGGATCGGGGCTTTGCCCCCATCGTTCGGAATGGCGCTGATTATCGCTTCAGTATGAGCCACTTTTCTGGATTTGAGTCCTCCCTCATCGTTGTGGCCCTTGTCCTTTCCCCTGCTCTGCCTTCCCCTCGTGCTCTGGCTCCTTCCAGTCCTTCCACTCCACTTCCTTGTCCTCCACTTCTCTCCCTCCTCCTTCCACCTCCTCCTCCTCCACCTCCCCCTCCTCCACCTCCTGCTCCTCCTCCTCCTCCTCCTCCTCTCCTCCTCCTTCCTCCTCCTCCTCTTCCTCCTCCCTCCTCCCTCATCTCCTCCTCCTCCTCCTCCTCCTCCTCGTCCTCTTCCTCCTCTCCTCCTCCTCCTCCTCCTCCTCCTCCTCCTCCTCCTCCTCCTCCTCCTCCTCCTCCTCCTCCTCCTCCTCCTCCCTCTCTCCTTCCCTTCCACTGCTTACCATCACAAATTTCCCCTCGCCCTCCATCCCCTAAGACGGTGCCCGTCGGGGCACGCGTATCTCGGGGCTTCCATGAAAGAGGGAGGTGAGGACTGGGGGGCCGAGGACGTCTTCGTCGTTGAAAGGGGACGGGGGGGGGCTCCGTCGCTGGTTGTCGGAGGTTTTCTCGCCCCTGGGTTCTTTCCAGTAGCCGCGCTTCGTCGAGAGCTTTCCTGGAGTTCTGGATCGTCCCGAACGGAAGCTAGAGACCCGAAATATGACCCGGAAGACACCAGGCATCGAAGCGGGGGTGTGAGGACTAGTGTGCGGATGTCATCGTACTGATCGTACTGATGTCGTGGCCCCCCTCTCCTTCTTTCAATCCGTTCCCTAATTACCCCCCTAGTCCG